GATTTTGAACTCTGATACTAAAATAATGAAGGTTTATAAACACATATGCTTGAGCGTTAAAGCGCATAAGTCGATGAATAAAGTGGCAGAATTATGCATAGAAACTCCACTTCAATAAAGCGATCGATGAATTTCCAGGCTATTTCAAGTAATGACAGTGTGTCGGTGGTGTGGTCATTTGCACATTCTTTAAATTTGTTGTGAAACATGTACCGAGATATTGCTTTTAAATCAATTTATTTCAAATCCCTATTTAAGACTACGATCTGATTTTTTTGGTCCTTAGGTGTGTCCACAAAGCAAACTGTGAATGTTAGACATAATTTCACTTATGACCAAAAAAAAATTGGTATCAACACAAGATTAACCCTGACGCAATATTAACGTGCATAAATGGTTTGTTAAATCGTCAGGTGACTCATTATATTTTAAGTGTTAATGTTAGATATAATAACGCTTGTGCCTTATCACGGGGTGTTTACTGAAGTGATAGAGTTTATGATTCAGCTGCCTGTCATCCACTTGCTCATTCGTATGTCAACAAACGTGGCTGCTGCGGCGTTTCCAATGTCATTCCATATCTCAGTTGCCGGATTTGAATGACTGCTAAATAAACAGTAACACTCGTCAGTAACGAATCCCTTTAGGGGCAAAAATTGACGAAGTTAAAATTAAAGAAGGCGTTATCGAGGAGGTTTCAGAACAGATTGCAAAGTACGACAATTTTTCACTCTTAAAATGACAAAACAGTGTTCAATATATGCAGGGAGTGCCGTTCAGCCGAGAAAACTGTTTAGTGGGCATTAAGTTTTTTTTGTGTAATTGTGTATAACGCTACTATTGGCTGTAACGCACAGCCATGGCGTCACTTGTGGCCCATGTAGGAGTCATGTCACAAGAGCACTCTTTACTACAACGGCGTCACTTGAGTGATTCCTGTTATGGTTAAAGTGTGTGATTTTTGGTATTATATCTATTCCGAAACAAATGATATTTGTCTATATCGTTACATCCATAAGTCGGACTCAATATGCATGGTAATGAAGAAAGTTTCAAGACTACCGACACCATGGGTATTACAGGGTTCAAAAAATCTCCCAGTATCTGACTGAAGTGGCTAAAATCTGTTCAATTCAAAATGCTGCTAGCGTTACTAATGACGGTTCTAGTACTCCAGTTACTACTAATTTCAGCCTCTTGTCAATTTGTACGAATGCAATGTGGTTGACATAAAATAGCACACAATTTTTAGACATTGACAAAATCGGGTTTCTACATGGTTTTGACAAAGTCTTTGTCTGTATTGGCTGCACCTATCCACAAACAACGACAGTGAAGAAAACTTGTTGCACTGTTATAAGGTTTGCGGCATCACAATCAAGCCTAGAAAGAGAGACTGCTTATGACAGTAATGGTACGGCTTGATGTTTTGGTTAAACTGCAGAAAAGCTATTAGAATGGTCTTGTATGTATCATCAATTGTAGAAGTTGATACCAAGGGTGTTTATCAACACAAATCGGGCTACCAGTTTCTCAAAAGAAAGAGACATTTAACTTGTTTGTAACACTTCTATCAACATTGATTTGTCGCTAAAAATATTCCGATTGCGATAAAATGCATCACCAAAATTGCCTACTGCATTAAAAGCACCCATCGTTGACTGCAGAAAATCCCCCATTTAGCAAAGGCATTATATATATATATATATAATGTCCCAGATTAAACTTATGGAATTTAAAACTTACCTGGCTCGATGTAACAGCTTTGATAAAATTGCTGTTACCAGATGCATAGACTTATGTTATGTCGAGCGACAGCTTTTGGGAAGATCTAAACCTGGTTACCGAAATATCTTCCAATCAGCGCGGTTATCTATCCGTTTGACAGAAAAGTCATAAAGGTTGAGATTTTGCTTAAGAAATGTTATTGCAAATTTCGTATTTTAAAGGTAGGATGTGCTAAATAAATCAATTTTACTTAAACAGAAAAGCAGAAAAAATGTATTTGTGCCGCGGCAGGATCAGCAATAATTTACTCGAAGCACTGAATTGCCAAGGCTGCCGAAATTAACACTTTAACAGCTGAGAGCATTGTGGAAGCTGAGGTCGAACTGGTAGTTGTGAGTGTTCCAGGGGAATTTGAAGGATCAGTTGATTCAGTTGCTGATGGTTTTGTTGTTGGTGCTGCTGTGGTGTCTGTGGTTGTTGTTGTGGTGGTTGCTGTTGTTAGTGCTGCTGTGGTGTCCGTGGTTGTTGTTGTTGTTGGTGCTGCTGTGGTGTCCGTGGTTGTTGTTGATGTTGTTGGTGCTACTGTGCTTGCAGTTGTATTTGAACCGTTAACTGTTACATTAGAATGTGTTGTTGAATTGACTGATGATGAATTAGATCCATTGGCATCTATGCACCATATCAGAGCAAGAAGACAAATCAGCTTCATCTTTCCTACAACGCATAAACGCACACCATTTTAGTTGAAATGAAAAACCAATGGTATTGTTAACACACTGTGTAAATTTGAATGCAACTTACTTGAACAAGGAATGTTCAGCTCACTTCTACGCTGCATTTATATCCGATGTTACAAATGCTCGGATAGGAGAAAGCAGGACTGTGCCAATCTGAGCAATTGATCCTACGTGTCATTCATTGTTAGGTGTGGCAGGCATTTCGAAAGTATATCGCTTATGACGCAATTCATGCTTGCCACAGCCTTTAAACTGACATGTTTTTTCTAGTTACGTATTTGTGGGCTTAGTGCATTTAACGCCACATTTTATGACGGTGAAGTCATATTGGACAGGAAGACATAATTAAAATCACAGCCTTTGTCATGCTTCTCCAATGGCATCACAATTATTCTTCGGGGCATTTATGTTATGCCTTCTTTCCGTTCTCTTATCCGTCACTGTGCATTCTATTGTCCAACGAGAAACCAGTAGTGTGCCAATCTGAGCACTTGATCCTACGTGTCATATGGTACTAGGTGTGGCAAGTATATTGAAACTGCATCGCTTATGACGTATTTTATTCTTGCCTCAGCCTTTAAACTGATATTTTTTCTGGTGCCGTATTTGTTGGTTTTGTGCATTTAGCACCCAATTCATGGAGGTGCGGTCAGATTTAGCAAATCTAAGTTAAACAGAAAGACTACTTTACAGTAAATCAATATTTCTTCTCCTTCTGTAATAGAATCGCAGGTATTCTTTGTGTCATTATGCGGATATGGTGACTTTGTTTTCGCTAATCAGTCACCGTGAATTCTATTTTCCAAAGTAACGTCTGTGTTGAATGACTCAAACAATTACAACATACACCTAAACAAAACATGCTTTAAGATGGCGCATATCAATCTTTAGGTCATAATGCTAGCCATGTTGCATTTAAATTTTCTTGACGATAGATATTAGTTTAAAAGCACAGAAATATAAGTCGTGCTACGTCAATGCATTTTACTTTAGTCATAAGTGGTATATATGCTAAGAATTCGCTTCCAGCAGTTCAAACGTAATGGGTGCTTTTTTTGAATTTTAGAATTTAATCAATCTATTTAAATCACTGAAGCCGCTATACACACATAGAGAAGTTTTTTATCTTTTCCAAAAATGAGAAGTCAAACTATCTCCTTAGCCTATAAGCATGCACAAGTAACCTAGCTACTAAAACTTTGTAATAATGGAACCACAACCTCTTTTTTTCAAATGGAATGTTTTCGATTATGAGCAGATCAGCTAATCAACTATCTGTGGTGTGTATGTAAAGCCAGCCAGTAGTAATGACAACTCGGAGGCAGTATGTAATCTGTGGTCAGGCAAGCATGAATAACGGGGATGGAGTGTGCTTGCTTTTACTGCAGCTAGCTCCTTTTATTTGAGTCTTTTTCTTGTAAAGTTTTGAATAGTTAAAGCAACTGCCCTAAAGCCCCAGATGCTGTGCCGGGACATGTCATCTAGTTTAATACGGAATAGGTGGTGTCGAAGTTGCTTGAACGAGTTATTTATGTGACTACAGCAGCTTACATTATTATGGAGGCTTTAAGATGGCATTTTTTTTCAAACAAGTCGACTCCTTTTGTAAAAAATCTTTAGAGAGCAGCGCAATAATAAGTGAATATACGTAGAATTCAAGTGGTATCTGGTGCCATTACTTGTGCATGACCGTCAAGTTAACAGTTACCAAAAGGCCGAAAATGGCGTAAGGAGGGGCAACAGTGAATACGACCATTTATTAGAGTCTCGTCAGACGAATGGCTGTGTGCGACCAAGTGCGCCTGCAAAACGGGCTACAAATAATAGGAACCAATGAAATGGGGAATGAATCCGTGTCAGAGAGTGAGTGAATGCGTGTGAGTGAAGCCAATTTACTGGACTGATGGAGTCTATGATTCAGCCCTTCTGAACGGGTTGCTGTGTTGTCAGTCGCCTGTCATCCATTTACTCATTCACTTTCCGACCAACGGGGCTGCTGTGGCGCTTCCAATGTCATACCTTATATCAATTCCCGGTTTTAAATCACTGTTAATTAATACTTTTATTTTATTGTGTAATTGTGTGGAATGCTAGTTTAAGCTGTAACGCTCAGATATGGCGTCACTTGTGGCCCATGAAGGAAGCATGTCACATGAGCACCCTTCACTACAACGGCGTAACTTAAGCGATTTACGTGGTAGTTCAAGCGTGTGTGTTTGTCAACGACGACACCTTTTTTTCTAATATCGGAAGGCATAATGCACCCGAGGCTGTTCAACTTGATTTAGCTTGATGATCCGATGAGATTTGAGCTGAATTGGGAGCATGAAGGGCTAACAGTAAGTGGTGATTTATCTGTTGCAGACCGAAAGAAATTTGCTTACATCGTTACATTCACAAAGCGGACCCAATATGAATAGTAACGACGAAATCGCAAGACTGGCGACACCACGGATATTACAGGGCTCTAACATTCTAGCAGTATCTGATTGAACTCCTTTTACTTATACAACCGACTTACTTAGCTAGTGCAAAATGCTCCTTGCGTTGCTAAATACGTTTCTCGAACTCCCGTTACTACTAATTTCAGCCTCATGTAAGTTTGTACGGATACAATTTGGTTGACATAAAACAGCACAGAACTTTCCCAGTTTCTACATTTGTTTGACGTATACGTCATCTTTTTGCCAGCATTGACAATGACGACAACTTAGGGCACCGTCTGAAGGCTTACGGCATTACAATTAAGCCTTAAATTGAAATTGCTTATGGCAACCATGGTACGGCTTGATGCTTTGTTTTAACTGCATAAATGTTATTTAGATAGTCCCGTTTGTATCAGCAACTGCAGAGGTTGAATGTAAAAATGTTTAACAACACAAATTGGTTTACTAGTGTCTCCGATGAAACAGACATTTAACTTCTTTTCAACAATTCGAAACACATTGATTTGTCGATTAAAATATTCTGATTACGATCAAATGCATCAAAACAGGTTAGTAGAGGAATGAAAGTGGCTTAAATATAGTACTCATCGTTGACTGCAGAAAAGCCACCAATTAGCAAAAGCGTCATACGGATAATGCCCCAGGTCAAACTTATGGCATTAAAAATTCACCTAACTCGATTTATCCACTTTGAAAAAATTGCTGTTACCAGATACATAGACTAAAACTTTGTTAAGCGACAGCTTTTAGGCAGATGTAAACCTGGTAAAAGCAATATCTCCCTATTAGCACAAATATCTATTTATTTGTCAGAAAAGGTAAAAAAAGGTTTAGTGTATCCTTAGAAACGAAAAAGCAAGAAAAAAAATTGGATCTGTGCGGCGGCGGGATTTGCAAGAATTTACGGGAAGCACTGAATTGCCAATACCGCCGAAATTAACATCTTCACAGCTGAGTGTATTGTGGAAGCTGAGGTCGTACTGGTAGTTGTGATTATTCCTGGTGAATTTGAAGGATCAGTTGATTCAGTTGCTGTTGGTTTTGTGGGTGCTGCTGTGGCAGTTGTTGTTGTTGGTGCTGCTGCGGCAGTTGTTGTAGTTGTAGGTGCTGCTGTGGTAGTTGATGTAGTTGTTGGTGGTGCTGTGGTTGTTGCTGTTTGTGATGCTGCGGTTGTTGTTGTTGATGGAGCTGCTGTAGTTGTTGTTGATGTTGTTGTTGGTGTTGATGGCGTTGTTGAGGTTGTCGTTGTTGGTGCTGCCGTGGTTGTTAATGTTGATGTTGTGGTTGTTGTTGTTGGTGTTGCCGTGGATATTGTTCCTGCTGATGATGTGTTTGTTGATGTACCATTTATTGTTGAATCAGAATGTGTTGTTGAATTGCCATTTGACGAATCAGATACAGTGGCTGCTGTGCACCATATAAGAACAAGAAGACAAATCAGCTTCATCATTTCTGCAAAGCATAAAGTCACACAAATTGATTTGAATTCATAAAACAATGGTCTTACAAACACACTGTGCAAATGTGAATGCAACTTACTTGAACAGGAAATGTTCAGCTCACATCTACGCTGCATATATACTCGATGTGACCAATGCTCGGATAGGAGAAAGCAGTAGTGGGCCAATCTGAGCACTTGATCCTACCTGTCATATGGTACTAGGTGTGGCAGGTATTTCGAAACCATATCGCCTGTGACGCATTTCATGTTAGCCAAGCCTTTAAACTGACGCTCTTTTCCTGGTGCCGAATTTGTTGGTTTAATACATTTAACTTTACATTCATGAAGGTGCAGTCATATTTGGCAATTCTAAGTTCGACAGAGAGATTTAATTATATTCACAACCTTTGTCTTTCTTCTAAAATGGTATCACTAATATTCTATTTTGGGTTCGCTTATTCGTCACTGTGCATTGCAAAGTAACGTCTCTGTTGAATGACTCAAACAACTACAACACAAACATAAACAACAAACGCTTTGAGAGGGTGCATATCAAGATTTACGATAGCATGCTATGTCATTAGGGCTTAGTATTTTTAAATTCTCTTGACGTATTAGCGACATAAATAAGTTTTGCTAGATACAGTTTTCATTGCCCTATATTAAATGTAGAAGGTTCTTTCCACGTCAAAATCGTTTATTAATTTTTAGAAAAATGTCTCCACAAACAAAAGCGGTGTTGATTTCACGGTTAATAATAATAGACGGTTTTTGTAGTTGTACAGAAATATCAGTCGTTCTACACTTAGGCATTTTACTTTTGTCATACGTGGTATATGTGCTAAGAAATCGCTTTTTGTAGTTCAAATTTACAAGTGCTTTTTTTTGAATTTTCGAATTTGATCAGTACATTTAAATCACTGAAGTCGGTATACACACATGCTTGATCAGTGAGACGATTGGGTAGGCCGCGAAATTTATCAACAGACCATCATATTATGTCCACAACCCAGCTTCAAAGCCACAATGAGCTGCACACACGAAGTGTCAGCTGAAGTAATCTAAATATATTTTTATCCAAACTAAAAATGACTAAGTCCTCTCTTACGCACACTAGACTCACATGTTTTTATTCGACATTATGGTAGATCGTATAACATTTCCGTAACCACTGGTGTGCATTAACCTGTACTGAGTCATCGAAGTAAATTCCGTATTGGTGGAGTACAAATGTGTACTTTATACAGGCAAACGTTTAAGACGCAATGATTCACCGGGCTCAATAGCTTGGGAAACACGTTTACATGTGGTTAATCTGACCGACAATCATGAAACTGGCTATGGAAGAGGAAACAGACCAGCGTAAGCTTTGACTGTGGTTACATTTGCAGAGAAAAATGCATATCTTTCGTTCATGCTGCTTCTACTTATGTCAGTTCACAAGGAATTCATGCAGTACTAAATAAGCCCTTAGAAATGTTAAGCGATTAAGTGCATTAGGCGTAAATCAGCAGTTCGTGTTTGCGTCCACGGTGGTCGCTCTTCAGCGCCAAGTTACTGCCTTATATTTCCTTTCGCATTTCAGTCTGTTAGTAAATTTAAATGGCTCAAGCTCTTTGACCCAAATACTTCTATACCCAAAATATTCGAAAGAAATATATTTGTCCATGCTTCAGCACATTAGTAAAGCCTGGCTAAGGAAGTTTTTGACGCATAAGACATATGCGACTCTCAGAGAGGCTCTCCGAGATAATCCAATTTGCCAGTTAATTTTTTATCACGCTGCTTCATCCGACTGCACAAATTTGACAGGCGGTATAAATTGGAGTTAAAAAGAGAATACATTTGGGCTAACAATAGATGCGTGATAGATAACTGAAAAAGTGATTTATTCCTCATTGACGTAGTTTAACTTGAGAATTATACCTAATGTTCTTATTTTGAGGTAATTTAAAAGCATAACCTGACATTGTTAAAATATTTTTTTACATTTAAACATTTATCGTAGCTAACACCCTAGATTAGGGAAACCATAAAATCACCATATATGAGCACCTTACTTTTATGTCTGCTGAAACTCATCGTGAGTATTGCTTGCTTAAACGCACACCTCCTTTATATTATCCTCTAAATTGACGAGGATGCGAAAATCGACATTGTTAGGCGAATAGTAAGTTTTGTATCTAAACGTAATCACCTCTGAAATTCGTACTGATGGAGGGCAGTTATATTTAAAAAAATGAACACATTTCTACACTTTAATCACCACCACCATGTCCCCAACTACAATAACGACAGCAACAACCAACCACTTCTGCTAGATCCTCATGTAAGGTATATAAAAGGCGTCCTGACATAGTGTGAAATGGCCGTCTCAAGTAAAAAGGCAAAAAAAACTACTTGGATGCAAGAGCCGACCTGCAACGCCGACGCTTTGACTAGAAGCACCGATTTTATTCACCTTATACATATACCGGTTTAGTTTTATTTAATTAACACTGGTGTCAGAGTTGGCAGGATTCGCAAACCTTTGGTCTACAAGTGTTAAGTGGCAAACAACTTACTCGTTGGAAATGCATTCGAATGCTGCTGAACTCAGATATACGCCTAAGACAACAGTTCTCATATTTTTTGCAGATGGCCGCTGGTTAGCACCCAGTTATTTATGGTAATAAACTTTCTAATTTGTAGTCTCCTAGTCAAATTTGGATGGCGCAAGTTTATTAACTTACGTGCAAATCTATCTAAAACTGTGGCTCATACTCCTGTTCATTCGCAAAGACTTTCAACAGATTCGTGCTCATTGAACCTAAGGGCACAGAGACATACAAGCTCAGAACGGCAAAGCTTCCGAACTCAACAGAAATTCGTCGTTCGTACCAAAAACGTGCACTTAATTTATCAAGAGACGCATCTGCGTGACACGAAGAGATCATGTAAGGTCAGTGGTGGTCATGTGTCATGCCACCTACACCGTGTCATAAGGGCCACTTTTTTATATGAAAAACAGCATATTTCACAAATACTCAACTGAAAAGAGCTCTGAAATAACCCGAGAACAGAGATAGGTTAGGCAAAAACCGCTATACCTATTTATTATAGCCTCTTTATTAACTGGTCTAATGCGTTTGTGCTTTGTTAGAGCAAAATCAAGTCGTTTCATTACAGAAATATTAATGACTAGCCGCATCAAGAGTTATAATGAGGACCATTTGGATGAAAATGCACAATTGATACCAAGTTTTGCAAGCGGATGAAAAAGCGTTATTGAAAGATAACCGGCCAATTTGACTATTTAAAAGTACATTTTTGAGAGTTGTAAATGTCTTTTGCTTCTGATAATGTGAAATGTGCTGACGAATAAACTACTCCTACTTTGCGAATCATTTGAATAGATCAGCATTTGGGACAATGAGCTTGCGTCATTTGAATGCTAAGAAACATCTTAGACCAATAACCGGGTGCTAAACAGCGACCACCATGGAGGTAACTGAGAACCCCTGTTATAGGCTTAAATCTAATATAAGTTACATTTGACTACATTTAAAATGTGAGTTTTCGATTAATTAAATTAAAAATGCGTACCATTGCGCCAGTCCTACAACCGATAGGTCTGTTAGGTGTATAAATGTGGTGTTAACATCAAAGCCCCAGTCCAAACGTCATCGTAGCGAACAATCAATGTGCATTTGGAAGGTGTGAAGGCCTGCAGAAATGTCCATAGCGGTAACGGCACTAATTCACTCCCTTTGTTGCCTCCGTTTACATGAATAGGAAGCAAAACTATTCAGTCATTAAGACGTTTTGGAATATAAGTTATCCATGTTTAATTAGAGATGTTGTTTGGTTAAGTGTTGTTGCTAAAATTGGTCCTGCTATCTGCTGCGTTTTAGTAGTCGGAGTTATTAACTCGTGAATGTCATCTACAATTTCAGCGAGTTCCACCAAAAACGTGTTAGAGTTCTTAATTGATACGAATGCGTAAGAACGACGTAGCCCATACGTTAGGTAAAACGGAGTTCTCTATTTAATCATCGTTAAATAGGATGATCCAACACCCATTATATTGTGAAGTGACATGCTAACTAGTGTATTACAGGAAAGGTGGATTCGATGTTGCCTGAGTAGGACATTTGTGTGAATACAGCAGCTTCAATTTTTATGGGGGCTTTCAGGTGGCATATTTTCAAACATGTCGACACCTTTTGCAATAAGATCGGCAAAGGTCCGCGCAATAATCTGTGGTATTAATTGCCATAACTTTAGCATGGCCGTCAACTTAAGTGTTGTCAAAAAACGGAAAATAGTGTAAAGAGAGGCAATAAAGAATACGACCGTTTATTAGAGTCACGTCAGACGAATGGCTGTGTGCGATCAAGTGCGCCTGCAAAACGGGCTACAAATAATAGGAACCAATGAAATGGTGAATGAATTCGTGTCAGAGTGTGAGTGAATGCGTGTGAGTGAAGCCTATTTACTGACCTGATGGAGTCTATGATTCAGCCCTACTGAACGGGTTGCAGTTTAGTCAGTCGCCTGTCATCGATTTACTCATTCACTTGCCGACCAACGTGGCTGCTCTGACGTTTCCAATGCCATACCAAATATCAATTTCCTGTTTTGGATGGCTGTTAACTAGACAGTTGCACTTTTAAAAAACGAAAAAAAATTTAAGGGCAAAAATGGCTCAGGTAAAATTAAAGAAAGCATATTTGAATTGATTTCAGAACCGGCTGCAATGTACAAAGATTTTCCACATTGTAAATGACAAAACGGTGTGCCATGTATGCGGAAATCGCCGCCTAGCCGAGAAAAATGAAGATACTTTCCCGATTGGTTAGTGCACTATAATTATTTTTATATTTTATTGTGTAATTGTGCGGAAAGCTTGTTTAAGCTGTAACGCTCAGATATGGCGTCATTTTTGGGCCATGTATGAGGCATGGCACATGGGCACCCTTAACTACAGCTGAGTCACTTGAGTGATTCGCGTGGTAGTTCAAACGTGTGTGTAGGTCAACGTCGACGCTTTTCCTCCAATATCGGAGGGTGCACTACGCCCAAAGATATTAAACCTAATTAAGCAATATGATCCAATGAGACTTGGGCTGAAGAAATCAGCACCACGACAGCTGAGAGCATTGTGGAAGCTGAAGTCGTACTGGTAGTTGTGGGATTATTAGGCGAATTCGGTGAATGAGATGATTCAGTCTCGGAAGGTTTCGCTGGAGGAGTGGTTGATGCTGGTTCAGTTAGTGTTGATGTTGAAGTTGCTGCTGTACTAGATGAACATGTGTTTCCTCCTGCTACTGTGGTTGTTGATGTTGCTGCCGTATTTGTTGTTGTTGTTATTGTGGTCGTTGTGTTTGTTGT